CATTCTCTCTTCTTCAACAACCGGGCCCCAACAAGTTCAAACTTTCTAAGACAGAGCCTATATATAAGGCCAAAAAGTTTAAAGTTCCCGTTCACTATCTTAGCATTAGAAACCCTTCACCCAAGAACGAAGTTCTAGACTCTAAACCCTGCACTCTCCTAAAGGTCCTCAAATCCTAGAACCGAAAGCCTAAATCCTGCCCCTCCGCAGGCCGTAAATCCCAATCCCTTATATTGTGAAGAGTACATGAACAAAACGAAAACTGAAATGTTGAAATAGTTGCCATGGCAGTTTCAGCAAAGAGAAGCTGGACAGATCAAGAGCCGAGGGGGTCTAATCCTAATCCGTAATCCGGCTAATCCGCGTGATTAGCCGAATCCTTGTAATCTATGATATGGTCGTAATCCATGCTGTAGAAAGCCAGCAAATCAAGATACATTTTTTCTCCCTGGCATTTCATGCAGCTCGGTCGTCAGCGGCCGGTCGGCGAGGCCTCAAATAGGAGACCGGAGACTGGACTTGGGTGATGATTCCGTGTTGAGGGTGTAGGCAGTTGAGATGTAATTGGGTTCAGGGCTTGGGGATAGAAGGATGTGGGGGTTAGGTTTTATTTAATTTAAGATCTGTGGCTATGTGGGTTCTAAGTAAGGGTCTTTTCTGCTTTAGTTTGACGCCCAATACCCCTTAATTTAAGGAATATGGGAAGATGGTTTAAAATACATAGGGCTGCATATTCTGATGTTAGTAAGCTATATTCCTTAATTAATTAAGGGGTATTGGGCTCTCTTGGAACGAGGCTTGCCAGACACTGCTGAGGCAGTCGCGTTTAGGATCTTGAGGGTTTCGGGGTTTGGGGTTTAGGGTTTCAAAGTTAGGGGTGTTAGGGATCTCCCAGCTCCTTCGGGGACACTAGCTTGTTACTGTTGGAGTCGCGGATTTCTCAACGCCCACTGATTTTTGACATCGCAGGGACAAGCGGTCGCCCGGCGAATAGATTTCGCCCCAGGCTTGTCATGGATCCCTTCATAAAGAAGAGCATCATAGCTCGCTAACGCCGCTGGAAAATTAATCCAAGTCGTGAAGTTCGAGGACTGGCGTCGCATCACATCCTGAAGTTGGGGCCCGCATGTCAACTGGAGCACCACTCGCGAGCACATGTGTCGAAACCTTACCGGACTGCACGTCCAGCTCATAGTTCATCGGAGCAGCTAGAATGGAGTCTGGCTGAGGAAAGTGCAATACCGCAGAACTCGGATGGCCACCAATCGTCGATTGTGAACCCATAGATTCCGACGCACCCTCTTGGCTAGCTGCTGGCCCATCTGTGCCCACCACACCACTGACTCGACACCCCACAAAAGGCAACCCATTCTCAACAGATCCAAGGTTCGTAGTGCTTCGGTGCAGTGAGCGCTGTAGATGCCGGCACCGTCTCGCGTGCACATGCCCGAACGTCAGGCGACAATCCTTGCAGCAGTGCCTGTGCCCTGGGCTCACATGCGGGACGTTGCAGCCAGTTGTCTGACAGGCAAAGAGGCGAAGCACTGGCATCGATCCCTGGGGGACCGAAGCATCAGCATGCACTATGCCTGCCGAAAATGCCATGGACGACCTTTGGTTGAGGGGCACTTTCAAATTTCATGGGCTTGACAGAAGTAGCGGCTTCGCGCTGACACGCATTGTTTTGACATGCGACGCATATCTGCAAGTAGTAGTAGTAGTAGTAGTAGTAGTAGTAGTAGTAGTAGTAGTAGTAGTAGTAGTAGTAGTTGTAGTAGTAGTAGTAGTAGTAGTACTAGTAGTAGTACTAGTAGTAGTATTACTTCCTGAGAAGCATGTTGGGGTCCCTAGAACAAGGATCCGACTATTCAGGGTATCATCTCGACGACAAGACTTTAATAAACCCTAGTAGCCTAGGCCTGACTTAAATGAGAACTTACCTTCAATCAATTCCTTAGTCGCAAGAGTTCTGTGTAGACACTCCACACTCGGTGCCGGGCACAAAAGTTCGCTGGCGCAGCCTGTTTGTGTGCAATGGGAGTTTCGATGACAGATCTACACCATTTCGGGGGCATTCTTTTGGTCTGGGTGCTTGAGTGAGGCTACCCCGCAGCGTGTTTGTGCATCCAGAACAGACTGCAAGTGCGAAGCTTCACTCAGCATGCTTTCCATCGCGCCTTGAGACCATGGCCTGCCGCATGTTGCCCGGCTTCGAGAAACAGGCCTGGGGTCGATCAGTTTTATTGAAGGTTTGGGCTTTCAGGGTGGAGCGCTACGACTGCTGAGACTTGAAGCATCGCATGCACAGCACGGACTTTTAAGCTGCTCTGTGAAAGCGGCTCTGCCCTTCCGAAGTTTTCGCACAGGTCTACACTGAGCTTCTCCAGGTGCCCAGCAGCGGCTTGAACGTGTCTCAGATTCAACGCCTTCTCGCCAGTGGTTCGCTCTGGCGAGTCTGTGGATTCCTCCCAGTGGCATCAGGCCGTGGCGGCGGCGGGGGTGGCCACCACGACGACGAGCTTCTGGAGGAGCTGCTGCATGAAGACTTCGTGACCCACTTCCACTTCACGAACCTCTTGCACTTGGAGACGTTGCTGGGCTTGTACTTCTGGGCGTCGGAGACATTGGCAGACTTGTACTTCTGGGCCTCGGTGTGCTTGTTTTTGGTCTTGGAGACGCTGCTGGACTTGTACCTCGGGGCATCGGAGACGTTGGCGGACTCGTACTTCTGGGCCTCGGAGGCCTCTGAGACCTTCGTGGACTTCAACTTGTGGGTCTTGGACACATAGGCGGACTTGAACTTATGGGCCTTGGACACATAGGTGGACTCTCGCTTCCTCGAGCTCGAGCGGAACCATCTTTTTGGGCGATTCGCCCATGCCTCGGTGTCACTTTCGTCGTCCATCTTTTCTTCCGCCCATGTTTCGTTGTTTCTTTCGTTGTCCATGTTTTTGTTTCGCGATAGGAACTTCGGTTGTCCGAAGAAGCCTGCAGGGAAGTCCTCATCCTCCTGCCCCGGCCAGGGTACATCGTCCATGGCTGTGAAGCAGCTATGTGCTATGTTGGAAGTGAAGTGCGGCGTGAAAATATAAATCGCTGGGATCAACCCTGTGAGCCTGAGAGGCAGCGTGGAAAGGCCAACCTCTTCTATACTCCCAGCAAAGTAAACATGAAAAAACACACTGCAGCATGTCTGGCTTTGTCGTCCTTGAGGCCCGAGCCTGCCGATGAGAACCAGGAAGAAGCAATGCGGCGTGGGCCTCAGGTGGAACAGTTCAATCTTTACTGCAGCCTGCCACTACCCAGAGTGCAGGGTTTCTGCATGTTTCGGAGTTGTGGGGTTTGAGTGCGCTCTTAGGATTCGGTAGAAACTGGTACTGTTGTCCGGTATGCTAGCGAGTCAGCCAAGGCTCTTCTGCCCCTCTTGGAGCAGGTGGGCGTTCAGCCCCACATGGGAGCACCCCTTCAGCATCTAAACAACTGTATGTAAAGAAAGAGGCTCAAGAGGCAGCAAGCCGGCAGCGATACCGAACCCTCCCCCCTTGGCTCCCCGGCAGCAGCTTCGGTTGCATCTGCAGTCTCCTGGAGGTTCGAAGGTTTGTGACTCTGGTGTTTCGGTCCCTCCAAGCTAGAAGGGCATATGCATAATAATAAGATAAAATTATGCAAGGGGCCGACTTGCAGGTTCTTACAGTCCCCTACAGGAGCCACGACTCGAGACATTTTCAATGCGCTACCCACAAGAGCGACAATCGAACCCCAAACCTACAACCCTCAATCTCAAAGGCAACACCGCTCAAAACACCAGAGTCCAAAAGGCCCGGAAGACCCTCGAAAATCCAACTTGTTTTGGCTTGGGTGTCGGCAACGCAGGTTCGGGGCATCAAACTGCTTGAACGGGGTCTTTTTTCCGGAGCGACTTGTCCCCTAGTTGCACCACTAGGACCAGCGTCCATCACCAGAGGCATTTGCTTCCAGTGCCCCTGACCAACTTGAGTGAGCTGGATTTTCAATTTTCGAACGTGACACATTTGCATGCTGCAGCACTTTAAGCTAGAGAGTAAGTCATGCCCTGACTCGACTCGGCTCAGTCAAGTTGGACAACCCCAGCAGCAGCTGCCCTTTCCCCAGGGCAGTGCAGCTGATCTGGTCAGTCTGAAGTGCTTTCCAGCCTGCTTGATCAGCGATTAATTTGGCCTCACGCCACTAAGAAGTCACAGACCTCTTCTGCTCGAACTGGTCTCGACTCGTCGTCGCTAACAGCAGGTGATCCTGAGTTGACCCATGGACTTTGTCCGAAGCCCAATGACAAGACGAGTATGTCTGAAACGACAAGCGTAGGCCAAAAAACGAAGCATCATGGAATCAAGCGGCCGGTGATATCGACCTCGATGACCTGGCGGTTGTTCCCAGCGATGCGCTTTCGGGCTCGCTGTGGCATGGAGCCAGGGCCTGTGGCGTGGCCTTTGCGTGCAGCAATCGAGTTAGGCTTCCTGCCGCACGCCGCCAGCCAATCCAAGGCCACGCTTTCCAAAAAGCCACTGAGACGCCGCCCTGGTACTTTTCGTATGTCAGGGCAGCAAAGTCTTAGTCTGGCACGCTGGTCTGTGGTCTCGTCTCCTAGCTGCCCAGCGGTCTTCTCCCGGATCTTTCTCCTAAGTCTTGCTGAAGGCGGAGAGACCGCCATAACCGTGAACATGTCATGATGCGAGCTAAAACATGGACCGCTTCCAGAATCAAGGAGTCTCTGGAACGCGTTTTCGTTCATTCGCTGGACCAAAATGGCATTGAAGATCCCTTAAATTCAACCCGATCTTTTTAAGGAGGGACCCCTCTACTAGAAGAGACCTCCTAGCCTAGTATACGTCGTCTCATAAGCCCCTGAGGTTGAGGAGGGACCCCCAGAACCCGAAGCTAAGCTTGACTAAGCCTCCTTGTCATGCAATGTCAATGTTTATCGGAAGAGCAACCCAGAATTTAAACCTCAGAATGCCCAGTTGTCAATGCATGGCTTTCAAGTGGCAGCAACCCGAGTCGGTGAAATGAACAGTACAGAATGTTTGTTTTCTGAAATTTCTTGCGAGTTTCAGAATAGCCAGGTCCCGCTCGACCTCGCAATTTTGATAACTCAGCAGGATGAGCGAGCTGACCACCCTGAAAGCTTCAGGCAGGCTCTCCTCGCAAGCAAGGTTACAGACACGGAATCAGGCAAACAATGCTGTTTGGTACTACTTCCTTAACCAAACGCGTCACGTTGTTCCATCAAGGCGAGCATGCCTAAGAAGAACTTATGAGAAAGAAGTGTGAATAGAGCGGGAAAACCTAATTAACTTATCAACTATGAATGTCAGTCAACACCACAGAATGCTCCTTGACTTGTTGAAGGATTGGAGGCCAAAACTGATGAGGCTTCATTGTGCGCACCTCCGGGTTCGCAGCAAAATAGCGGTCCTTGACTTTGAGAAGGTGCTTCCACTGCGAAAGTAATTCGCCTTCAGCCATAGCAAAGTGCTTGGCAAAAGCTTCCACTGCAGTTGCAAGCGGGGTCGGCTCGTTCGCTGCTTCGGCGGCTTCCCGCTGTGGTGCTTCTGCTTGGCCATCTCGGGGCGGGCGGTATGTCGGGTGCAGTACAGCCACAAACTTACTGATGCCCACGTTGCGAAACCTCATCCGCAGATCCTCCAGGACCAACTTTTCGAGATCCTGGCTGGTGTCTTAGTCTTAAGTATTGGGAGGATTCAGGGAAGCTTCCGACTGGAGAGTGCACTGTCTGAAACTCAATTTACATGTTCTAACTGAACTCGCACTTGGATTCGCATGAACTGTATGTTGGGGCCGGGGAAGAAGTTGAGCTTGGCCCCCGCTAGACTAGACCCTATTAATTCCTCACCCACAACCACATCTTGTTTGTCAGGCAGCCTTGGCAACGGCAACCACCTCATTCAAGGTCTCGTTGTTCAGTCTCAACTCCAACTCCGGTTCATGGTCCCCCACATAGTACTTTGCGCTCAGGATCTGGCCACCAGCAGTCTGCTTCACATGCATCTGCCGGCAAAGTTCTTCCAGCAAAGTGGCCTGGCAAAGCAGAGAAATCATTGTCAAAGGACAAGAGGACAGGTAACCTCTAGTGCAAAACACCGTCCCGTGCCATTTAGACACAAGTCTCGACTGGAACTGACTGACTCAATCTACTACTGCTTTCTTGCCCAGCGGCAGCCTGGCGAGGAGCAGTGTATGGCTGAAACAGCTGCTTCAAGCCAGATGCCAGGCCACCATTGCCCTGGCGCATGTAAGCCTGCACATCCTTGATGCACAGCTCGACATGGGACTCCAGATCGAGCACCCTCAAGCTGCTGCGCTGGGACTGCACGTTGAGCTTCCGCAAGAATGACAGAAGATCTGCAGCCACGGCCAGCACCAACCAAACCTTCACGGTCCGCACATCTGCCTTGATGTGTCTCGCCCAGGCTGCTTGGTTTTGATCCCTGGAGTCCTCGGCTGGGGACGTGCTGTGGATGACAGTCATTTTCATTTGAAGGGGTAGGGTTTTGCAGGGTTTGTAGGGTTTCTCGGTCTTCTTGGGTTTCTTGGGTTTCTTGGGGTTTGCAGGGTTTCGGAATAACATTGGGTACTTGGGCATGCAGGGTTAGGCATAACGAGAGTTCCCGGTTGGAGGCTTCCCTTTTCTGCCTGACCCCGGGGGTAACGGGGTCTACAGCCCCAGACTGCACACGCCCCAGGCCAAACCTAGTAGTAGTTGTAGTAGTAGTAGTAGTAGTAGTAGTAGTAGTAGTAGTAGTAGTAGAGTAGTAGTACAACCAGTACTGATGCCAGTCAGCTTTGAAGGGGCTTCCCAACACTCCCCCGAAACCCTTGACACTAGGATTAGGACTCTTACTTACTACAATACCGGGACTTGTCAGGGCAGGGATGACATTGCTGGCAAGCATCGCAAAGCCGGGTGACATAGGAAACTATCGCCTTGAAAGATCGCACCAGCACCTTTGCGGGAACGGCATGCGAGACGAAGCGCTGTGGAGCGAAATGAAGCTGACCTCCTTGGCTTGCATCCTCCTGTCAGACATGTACTGCGGTCACGTACGAAGTGTGCATGAGGCAGCTGACTCACAAGATCGGACGTGCAATGTGTCCTGCATCAAGGAAGCCAAAGCCGACAACTCAGCTTTTGCTGCCGTGCTCTGGGATACATGGGAACATATTCGGCGCAGCATCTGCATGATCCCTCCGACGTACTCCTGCTCGTCGAACTTTTTGCAAGTCAAATCAACTCGATGGGCGCTGCACCTCAATGCACTTTACCAGGGTTCTCTTGCTGCTTTGTTCATTGTCTCCGTACATTGGTACACTACTTACAAAACTGAGTTGTTCAGAAGACTCTCTACTACTTAGACAAGAGCTAAATTAAATTAAATTGCTGCCCTGGGTCCAACACACCAGCAGGTTCTCCTCGGAAAACTGTCGCTTCTCTTGCAGCAGCGAGTGCGCTAGATTTCCAGTGGGCCCACGAATCGGAGCAGAAATTGGAGTGCTGCCTTTACGCACTCCGTTCACACTGGCACCATCCGCAGTGAATCCGACCAGGCGCTCCATCACATCTTGCTTTGTCAAGCCCTGGCCCGCCTCAGACTTTGTCGTGAGGGACAGGAGCACCTGTCCATGTTGACAAGTCCAGGCCACAAAGCGACATAGTTACTTAAAAAAACATGTTAGACCAACACATGCGCTGCAACATTACGCGCCTGCTGACAAAGAACGTCATGGGTTTTACTGGACAGGTGCCGCATCTGCCAAAAAGACGATGTCGGGCAACAGGGCTCATCCAGGAAATGCACTCTGATGGCAAAGTAGCCAGTGCCAGAAACACCCTCGTCCACGTTCACACTCAACACAGGAGATGCCTGCACTTGCTGGAGCAGGATGTCGAAGCTGCGATTTGCAGTGCAGCGACAAATCTCACTGAAAAACCGCCGGCCGTTGTGACCGTCTGGCAGATTTGCCTCAACCTGGTCAAAGTCGCCACTTTACTCATAAAATTATTGGTCGTTTTGTTTCGCAGATCAAGCTAAATAGGACCATGGACAAATTACCCGCAGCCCAGCTAACTAATCCGCTGGCCTCATAGCATGCCTTCGCCATTGCTTGGTATTCGTAACCAGTCAGCCCCTGCCGCAGAGCACAGTATGCGAAATGAATGGCGTTCTCCTGCTTTGTTTTGCGGCAGAGACTGGCACAAACCAACTTCGGCCAAAATGGAAAAGGAACGCATAGCGAGGAATGGGCATGGCAACATGAACAAAAGTGCTTTCACCCCACAAGCTCCTCCTGCACAGAGATGGAGATTTGCCTCTGAATGCGGATTTTGCCACCGGCATCGACAATGCCCTTCCGCATGAACGCCAATGCTTTGGAATGGTCCGATGTGGCTTTGTGCACATGTCCGTGCACCTTGGCAACTTGGAGCTGGGCTTGATATCAAGACTTTACTGTCTGAACTCACAGACACGCAGACACGCTGCCTAGGCACAGCGTCCCTTGCCTGTACGGTTTTCTCCGCCACTCGAACCTCAAAGCGTCCGAAGGCCTGGCGGCCATGCAAGGCATGACCTGGGTCTCCGTCTACGTTACGTTATGATAAAGCCATCCAAGCTGGACGAATTAGTTTCCAAAACCTGTTTCCGAATTCCAGAAGAAGCATCCGCTGGAAGCATAGGCTTGGCAGAGACTGCATCCCACCAGCTCCGTGCCATCGCTATCGATCTTGTACCGCAGCCATGTCTCGGACTTGCCGGTTGTTGGGCAGTTGTACTGAGCGAGGCGTCTCATCTCCTTAACCTTCCTCAGTGGCGATGCACAATGCTGCACAAAAAAAATTAATTACACACACCTTCGGGGAGAATACCGAAGGAACAACCGAAACCCGAAGCAGTAGTAGTAGCGAACATTGTTTACTCTGACTCAGAACGAGATGCTTGGTGCAGATGCACTCGTGGCGGCAGCAGCATTTGCAAAACGACTCGTCCTCTGCCGGGTCATCCGATATGGGTGCGGATGAGTCTGATTTCCCGCCCAGCGAAGGCCGCAGCCGATACCGCGAGGAGTGCGGCGTTGTCCTCTGCGGCTCCTCGGGCTCTGACACTTCGCATTGGACAGCCGCCTCTTTTGTGTCCGGCACGGCCACTGCATCGAGGTCCTCGGGCTCTGGCGCTTCGCATTGGACGGCCGCCTCTTTTCTGTCTGGCACGGCCACAACGGCCACAGCATCGGGCAGTTTCAGTGTCTCTTTCACCAAGTTTCTCAGCTTCGGGCAGCATGTTACGAGCTCCAGGTCAACGAAAACCGCCAGCCGCACAGCATGAGACCACCGTGTTCCTGAGGTATCCAAGCCTCTGTCGGTGAGCTGCTTCCGCAGGTCACATGCACTAAGCCGCATGATGTCGTTCAAGCTGATCTCGGCCATGGTTCTTAATTATGAATTTGACAACACTGGAAGCGCTAGGAAGTTGCAGAGGCCAACACTCTGTCTAGTCTGAGATTCGCCTAGTAGCTGGTAGAGTGGAGTGTCTGGGGAGTTTGGCTTGGTATGTCGAAATTTTACACTTTGCTTCTGACCTGTTTTTTTTTTGTTTCCGGCATCCGGGTTTACAGTCTTGCGGGACTTACCAAGCGAGGTCGGGGTTTACAGTCTTCCGGGACTCAGCAGGCGAGGTCGGTTTCAGGCGAGCTCCCAGCTTGGTGGCTTGGCACTTCCATGAGAATTGTCGGTTTGTGCTACTTCTCTGTGATGTCGCTGGGATCTGAGCCGAAAAGACGAAAGCCTCGGAGATTCATTACCCAATTCCCAAAACAACCAATCAAAGTTTCAGGGCTTAGGGATTAGGGTTTAAATTAAGGAGCCTGCGACCCTACAACAATTCTCAGATCCGCTGGTGGAAGAATACATGAATGTCAGATGACTGTAGCGGCACCCTCTACAAATGTGCTAGGACCGTTAATTGAAGGACAAGGATTACTTCGCAGCAGCAACCTCCAGTTTAAGAGTTTCTTTTACTTTTGGCTGTTACGCCGTTGGAATTTTGGAATGGCTTGAAGCTTCCGCATTTTTGGTCGAAGATCTAAGGCCGAGGTTTGGGCTTTGGCCTATGACGACCCTATACATTGCCACACAGTAGCCCGATACAGCCGTAACGCACCTCGTAGCAACCCAACAAGAACGCTACAAAGGGATGCATTTCCAGTTGAGATCTACTAAATAACTATAGTACTACCCCAAACTATCCCAAACCTTCAATTGCACACAACCCAGCAGGTCCTGCTTGGAAGCTGGATGCCAGCCAGCGCGAGCCGGGGGCGGCCAGTCACAGTCGCCTGCATGCGGACCAGAGGGTGTCGGTGGTCAGGGTTTTAGGGTTCAGGTAACCGTATCGTTCGGACTCCTGAAATCTGAAAGGTTTAGGATGTCAGGAGTTGGACTCTGTATCGACGTCGGGCTAAGTGATCTCGATTGCTGTCTCTGAGAACAAATTAATTTAATATTATTTGCTGCCAGTGTCTTTACAGTCGTTTTTCAGATCAACCCCCTGATTTGTGAAAACTCCTAACTCGAGCAAACAGCAACACCCGCCAGGACGAAACCGTGTGCGCCTTACTTCTGGATCATGTAGGGCCCGTACTAGTTACAATAGGGTTTGGGGGCATGTTCACCCCAGTAAATACACGTTATTATTGAAGTATGATAGCAGTTCCAATGATTCGGACCCCTACATTATACAGACGGGCTTGGGTCTAAGGACTAGGATTGAGGGGCCTCCCGAGTTTCGGGGTTTAGGGTTCATGGGGCTTAGAGTTTGGGGTTGATAACCTTGCGGCTTGCAGGATGACTTGTAAGTGCTCGGAGCCCAATGTGCAGAGTGTACTATTTGAAATCAGAGCAATAGTAACCTACTTTATTTATTTATAACAGCCGTACATACCCAGCGTCCCAGGCTCAGCAGTCATGAACTTTTTTTTCCATTCCTGCCAGAGCTCTTAGCTGTCCTCTGGCAGCTCTGGATCCTCAGAGCTGAAGTCTTCGTCCGCCACCAGGGTCTCGTAACGAGAAAGGAGAGCACTGGCGGCGATCTGCAGGGATATACACTTCTCTATACTACCCTTAGAACCATAACAAAAATATTATTTTGAATAATCTCTTGGGTTTTAGATGAACAAAAATACAAAATAATTCCTAAGGAGACCATAGTTCTTTTCCAAGAAACCACAACGCCTAAATCCCGAAGCCCTGCACTTTACCCCAGCAGCCTCCGAGGAAGGAGAAAGGGGAGCAGCAGCACTGCTGCTGCTGGCGCTCTCCTGCCGATCCTGCAGGGATGCACACTTTTCCTTGAAACCACTACCCCTAAATCCCTAAGCCCTGCACTTTACCCCAGAACCTCCGAGCAACGAGACAGGAGAGCAGCAGCTTTGGTGCCGATCCGCTGACGATCCTGCAGGGATACACACTTTTCCAAGAAACCACAACCCCTAAATCCCTAAGCCCTGCACGCTTCTGCAGGGGTTGGTTTTGGGTTTAAGGTTAGGGGTTCCTTCCAGCCTAATTCAAGGCCACAACCCTAACCCCCAGAACCCCCGAACCCTTCATTATAAAGCCAAGCCTCCGTCTGTGGCTTCTGGCTCTCTTTCGCATCCAGGAGCTGCAGCTGCTTTTGCCGATCCTGCAGGGGTATACACTTTTCCTTTAAACCACAAGCCCTAAATATCCCTAAGCCCTGCTTTTTATCCCGCCAGCCTCTGACCTTGTCTTCTGCTTTTTCGCCGCAGGATCTGGCTCCTGCAGGGGTTGGTGGGGTTCGTTCCAGCCTAATTCAAGGGCACAACCCCAACCCCCAGAACCCCCGAAGCCCTCATTATAAAGCCAAGCCTCCGTCTGTGGCCTCTGGCTTTTTTTCGCACCCGGGAGCTGCAGCTGCTTTTGCGGATCCTGCAGGGGCTTACACTTTTCCTTTAAACCACAAGCCCTAAATATCCCTAAGCCCTGCTTTTTATCCCGCCAGCCTCGGACCTCGTTTTCTGCTTTCTCGCCGCACGATCTGCCTCCTGCAGGGGTTGGTTTAGGGTCTAAGGTTAGGGGTTCGTTCCAGCCTAATTCAAGGCCACAACCCTAACCCCCAGAACCCCCGAACCCCTCATTATAAAGCCAAGCCTCTGTCTGTGGCCTCTGGCTTTTTTTCGCATCCGGGAGCTGCAGCTGCTTTTGCGGATCCTGCAGGGGTATACACTTTTTCTTTAAAGCACAAGCCCTAAATATCCCTAAGCCCCGCTTTTTATCCCGCCAGCCTCTGACCTCGTTTTCTTCTTTTTCGCCGCACGATCTGGCTCCTGCAGGGGTTGGTTTAGGGTTTAAGGTTAGGGGTTCGTTCCAGCCTAATTCAAGGGCACAACCCCAACCCCCAGAACCCCCGAAGCCCTCATTATAAAGCCAAGCCTCCGTCTGTGGCCTCTGGCTTTTTTTCGCACCCGGGAGCTGCAGCTGCTTTTGCTGATCCTGCAGGGATCGTTTTGACCCTCCACAGCCTATACACTATTCCAAGAAAGACCAACCCCTAAATGCAGGCTCTGCATCCTGCAGGGCTTGGCCTAGGGTTTAAGGTTTGGGGTTCGTTGCTAAAGGCTCAAACCCAACTCCCAGAACCCCCGAACCGTGCCTCGGCCTCCACCGCCTGGAGCTGCAACGGAAATCCACAGCCAGCAGGCGGATCAGCATCGGCGCCTGCCTCCAATGAGCAACTAGACTATGCATCCAGCCCGGGCCCCAAAGCCTGGCTGGAACTTTAAGATTTTACTCAGTGCCTGAGGGGAGTCGAAGGGGCCCAGCATCCCAGGCAATTCCGGAACCGCCGGCGGTGGAGGCGGCGGAGGCGGCGGAGGCGGCGGAGGCGGCCGCACTGCCAATTTTGGCGGAGGCGGCCACGGTGGCGGCGGAGGCGGCCGCCCCGGCCACTTGGGTGTCAGCCCAAGATTCATGAGCGGCGCCCTATGGGTTGGCTCCTATTGGTTTTCGTACTAGAACCTATGTTTCCACCATCTCGTCATGATTGACCCTAGCCTCTATTCGGAGCCTAGAGGTCCCTTCTTTTGCCCGAAGGACAGCTGGAGCCAGAATCATCCACAATGAAGTAAAACCCTGAAGGCCAGAAGCTAGGCAAAGCCCGAAATGACAATTTCATCCGCTTTCGGATTGTTGGGTTTAGTTATCAGAGTCACAGGGTTATGAGGGTGAGGGTCTTATAGGAGAGTTTGGTGTCTAATGCAGGCCTACACCAGAAGTCTTGTAGGGGGTGACATGTTGCAAAGTTCAAGCATGTTGAAAAGTTCAAGGGGATGTGCAGACGATTAAACATGCATGCTTGGATACATACAAAGGCACATGACATGACAATAAAACCGGCTATAGTGCAAGCTGCCTCAAACCCCAAACCCGTCCCCCAACCATTCCAGTGGCCCAATCTGAAGTCGCAGGACCCTGAAATCCCAGGCCTGCAGGCTAAGCTTGGGGCTTTGGAGTCACGGCTTCTGGGAGTTTGGACTTCAGCACACGACATCCCAGGAAGGAGCCTCGAGCTGAAGTTCGTCCCAGCGGGCGGCAATGCAGGCTCGAGACCACCTGGGAGGGCAAGGTTGCAGAAATTTGGATGATCATTTCAGTTCAGGATTGTGAAGGCTTAACGAGGCAAAGCGGTGCTTACGGTTTAGCTCTGGTCAAACCCAGCTCTAGGCAGCAGACCATCCTAAGTTACTAAGTTTCTCGCTTCCAGACTCACATGAACCTATGCTTCCACCATCTCGTCATGATTGACCCTAGCCTCTATTCGGAGCCTAGAGGACCCTTCTTTTGCCTGAAGGACAGCTGGAGCCAGAATCATCCACAATGAAGTAAAACCTTGAAGCCCAGAAGCTAGCCAAAGCCCGAAATGACAATTTCATCGGCTTTCGGATTGTTGAGTTTAGTTATCAGAGTCACAGGGTTATGAGGGTGAGGGTCTTATACGAGAGTTTGGTGTCTAATGCAGGCCTACACCACAAGTGTTGTAGGGGGTGACATGTTGCAAAGTTCAGGCATGTTGCAAAGTTCAAGGGGATGTGCAGACGATTAAACATGCATGCTTGGATACATTCAAAGGCACATGTCATGACAATAAAACCGGCTATAGTGCAAGCTGCCTAAAACCCCAAACCCGTCCCCCAACCATTCCAGTGGCCCAATCTGAAGTCGCAGGACCCTGAAATCCCAGGCCTGCAGGCTAAGCTTGGGGCTTTTCAGTCACGGCTTCTGGGAGTTTGGACTTCAGCACACGACATGCCAGGAAGGAGCCTCGAGATGAAGTTCGTCCCAGCGGGCGGCAACGCAGGCTCGAGACCACCTGGGAGGGCAAGGTTGCAGAAATTTGGACGATCATTTCAGTT